ATGCTCTCTCTCTGTCTCAAAAATAAATAAAACGTTAAAAAATTTTTTTTAAAAAAGAAAAATAACAATAAGTTCTTTAAAAAAATAAGTTAACTCTGGATGTGGAGGTGAGAAAAAAGGATATTAAGAGAGAGATGCCAGATCAAGGAAGAGGAGTTTTTTCTTTCTTTATGTGGAAGATCATTTTAATATGTTTAATATATTTTAAAGCTGATGAGAAAGACCCAGTGAAGAATGAGAGCTTTAACATGTAGTACAGAAAAGATTCTTTAAAAAAATTTTTTTAACGTTTATTTATTTTTGAGACAGAGAGAGACAGAGAATGAATGGGGAAGGGCCAGAGAGCTCTGTCAGCACAGAGCCCAACGCGGGGCTCGAACTCAGGGACCGCGAGATCATGACCTGAGCCGAAGTGGGACGCTTAACCGACTGAGCCACCCAGGCGCCCCCAGAAAAGATTCTTTCAAAAATAAAGTTTTTAAGCAGAGAGAAGTTGGAGCCAATGCACAGATGATAGAAGAAAACTAGGTATCTTTGTACATTTGCAAACTAAAAGATGTAGGAGTTACTATACATTTTCTCTGTGGATTAGAAGACAAGGTCATCTTTGTTGGAGAGGGAGGAAAGCAGGAGAATGTCTGGAGGTTGGAAGAGAGTGACAACACTTGAAAAAAGTAATTCAAGGATAAAGAGAATGAATTGACCAGGGTAATGTAGGAGGACTGTCAATGTGGAGGGTCCATTTAAGATTGATACTCATGAATTTTTAGTGAAACATTATGAAGAAAGTTGGGTGACCGTCCTTGACAGATTAGCCACCTGGTGCAAACACAGAGGAAATGGGCAGTTGATTTTCTCCAAAGCTGGATTTCTGCTGGAAATAAATTATTAAACTATAAGGGAGTTTAGGGCTTAGGAAAACAAATGTTGAAAATGGTAGACCAAGGAATCAAAACTATATAAGAAAATAAGTGCAAGGAAAAGGAAGATCTGATGGTCTGGTGGCACTGGACCTGGTACACTGACAATGGTTAGTTATTAGAACATTTCATGTTTTTTCCCATTGGCATATTTTGTCTTTATGTTTCTTCTGCAAACTGTGGATTCATTTCCTTGATAATTTCACGTTGGTATATTTCTCCCTTTTACCAATTTATATAGTGAAATGTATTTGTATAGTGAAGAACTGTATAGTGAAATATTTACATAGTGAAAATATTTGCTCTTTTCACATCAAAACAACAAATTTTGACTTAATTTTATGAGGTTGAATTTTAGTATAAACAATTTTTAAGATGTGTGTAACAATCTTAGTTTTTATCTCCATGGTTTCTGCTTCTGTTATGTGATAATTTTTAAGTGTAGAATTTCTCTTACCATTTGTTTACCTCTCTATATAGTGATATATTTTCTTTTATTCTTCTCTGGCATTCCAGTGGTTCAAAGTTAATACATAGTTCTTGTGGTTGTTTTTCTTACACTGTGACTAGTTGTGATGAGATTTTTACCTGTATCATAATTATTCATATTACAGTCTGTAAGGAAATTTCTGATCCTTGCTCTTTAAGAGAAAAAGTGCAAAAGGGAAAGGAATCGAGTATCATCTCTAAAATCCTATCTTTGCACTTAGCTCTTTGCTTAGTCTAATATAGATCATATAGGCTAATATAGACCCATATGGTATGCAAGTAGCTAATAGAGCTTTTTGAAAGAAGAAATAGCTTATATTCAAATTTCTGCACCTGCGGGAAGATGCACGGGGTATTTGTCAGAATAAAGGTGATTAGAGCTACCCTGCTGTATCGAAAATACAGACATGCAGCAGCTTAAAGGATATGCGTAATTACTTCTCACGTTAGTCTGCTGAAGTGAGCATTCTAAGTTGTTGAAGTAGTTCTACTCTGTGAGACATAGGACCTTATCCGATTGGTGTGGTTGAAGGTTGGAGGGAGGGGAGAAAAAGAAGTCCGAGGCAAGCGATTTTCCTTTACCGAAGCAAGGAGGCAGTGGTTGAACATACCGCTTCTGCTCGTGTTCCACGGATACGAACTGAGCCACCCATCTGCACCTCGCTATGAGGGAGGCTGACAAATGTAATCTCTATCCGGGTTCTCACAGTGCAGGAAAGAAGAACAGATTTGGGGAATACAGCAAGCAGTCTACCGCATCCGGGATAGTGTTGTGGATCTGTCTACAAAAAAAGTGAAGGATTTACTAAGAATGTTTCCTGAATAGAAATATTAAATTAAATGTGTTTCTATGTTTTACTTACTCTGCAAATTACTTTAACACACACACGCACGCACACACACACACGCACAAATCAAAAGCAGATGTCTACATCCAGAGAAATGATTTAAAGTTCTAGGCACTTATATTCCCTTTTACTTCCTTAAACTTCTCTTTAGATACACACTCAATGACAGAAACCTTGGCAGAATTGTCACCATAGCAGAACCATTCAACACCGAACTGCAGCTCTGGCAGGTATGAACATAAATCCCTCTGGACTTGTCCAGGAAGAAAGAATTTAACTGTTTTCTTTGTTTCAAACAGAAATGGTATTTTCTCTATTCGGGTCTCAGAAGACAGGGAGAAAGAAATAATTCTTATATCTAATTAAATGTGTACCTATTTTTTTCTAAACTGAAAAGCATTCAAATAATCAAGAAACAAAGTTTAAAAGTGGAGAAAGCTGAGACCTTGGGAGGCTTAGAAGGCTACCTTTTGGCTTACCAAAGCTTGGATAGTATGTGTCCCCTAGTAAATGTAGCCTGGAATAAGATGGTCAAGATTTGATTCCTCTTAAAATTCACAGTTTTGGAATTAAACTTTTTTAAATGTTTATTTATTTTTTAGAGAGGGAGAGAATGTGTGTGAGTGGGGCAGGGCCAGAGAGAGAGGGAGACACAGAACCTGAAGCAGGCTCCAGGCTGTCAGCACAGAGCCCAACGTGGGGCTTGAACCCACAAACCATGAGATCATGACCTGAGCTGAAGTCCAACACTTAACTGAGCCACCCAGGCACCCCTTTATAGTTTTGGAGTTTAAAGACTTTTTAGGTTTCAAATTATCTCAGTTCCCAGAAGGAAAAACATTTATTAATGTTGGACAAATAGAGATTGTATGAATTTTCAGTATCTGCATATTATATGTTGGAATGATAATATTCTGTGTATTAAGAAACAAAATTCGGGGCGCCTGGGTGGCGCAGTCGGTTAAGCGTCCGACTTCAGCCAGGTCACGATCTCGCGGTCTGTGAGTTTGAGCCCCGCATCAGGCTTTGGGCTGATGGCTCAGAGCCTGGAGCCTGTTTCCAATTCTGTGTCTCCCCTCTCCCCTCCCCCCCATTCATGCTCTGTCTCTCTGTCCCAAAAATAAATAAACGTTGAAAAAAAAATTAAAAAAAAAAAAAAAAAAAAAAAAACAAAATTCAGGCACCTGGATGGCTTAGTCAGTTGGGTGTCCAGCTCTTGATTTCAGCTTAGGTCATGATCTCATGGTTCATGGACCAGTGCAGAGCCTGCTCCCTCTCTCTCTGCACCTTCCCTACCTCAAAAACTAATTAGTTAATTAATTAATTAATTTAGAAAGAAACAAAAGAATTCTCATTTTTGTAAGTAGCAAACAACACTATAATTGAATTTGGGGAAAGACTTTGGAAGGAAGAGGGAAAATAGAACGAAGGTTAAAAGAGATGTTATTGGAAGTCCTTAATAAGTGAATTGAGAGTATATTAACATATTCCAGACTCCTGAAGTGAAAGGCTAATAAGGAAAGCCATCATTCGACAGACCAGGTTTTCCAGGGAATGCCTGGGGAATGCATAGGAAACAGAGAAAGCCCCAGAAGCACAGCAGGCCATGCCAGCAATTTAGTGTGCTTCTCCTTCTCCAATATGGCAGAGCCTCCTTTGACTTGACATGGTGCCAGAAGTCCAGTAATGACTGCTAATGTAAGAGATGGGCTTAATCTAAACGATGCACCAAGACTGTACCTCGGTGTTGTACAATAAGAATGAATTTCCAGGGAAGAAAGAAACCAATCCAGTTTGTAAGTAAAAGTCTTGAAGACTAGTTGGGCTTAAAATGACTTTCTTCATTATTTCCCTTTCTTTTCTAGATGGAAAGCTTTTTCAAAAAATATCCAGAAGCTGGAGCAGGAGAAAAACCTAGGCAGCAAGTGCTGGAAACAGTGAAGAACAATATTGAGTGGTTAAAACAAAATAGAAACACCATAAGACAATGGTTTTTGGATTTACCTAAGAATGGTTAATGTGTTCAAATATCATGTTTTAATTTTGTGAATCTGTTGTTTTTCCTGTTAAACATTTGGTGGCCTAATTTAGAAGCACCATGGAGGGAGTCTTATACCCAGATACTGCTTTTGCTAAGTAGTGTGTTTATATGTCTTGCAAAACTTTTAAATTGTTCTTCTTTGTTTATGAAGGAAGATACTAATAGAGTAGTTAATGTACTCAGGGATTTCTTCTAAGTGTACTTCATAGGAGATTCTTTGCAAACTGAAGAGAATTTAATAGCCATTTTAATGTCTTTAAATATCATTCTTTATATCTTAAATCTGTGAAAATAGAACAATTTGGTCTTAGCTTTACATTTTTAGTACCAAAGAAACACCACTTAATCTTCTCTCTTGATTGATTTTTAAAGTTTAAATACCAGTACTTGAGGGACCAAAATTACCATCTTAATCTTTATTTTATTATTCAGAATTACACATATCTAATATCATTATATTCACATGTGTCCTACTCCTTTAAATCCTAAAAAGTAACCCAGGTTTAAATTTTACTCAAGGATTGCATGAATTAGCCAAATAAATGGCTTTTGCCTTCACTATAAAATCAACAAGTGAACTCTCTTTGCCTTTCTAAAATAAATCTGAATGATTAACTTGAAAAAATATATTGTTTTCCAGTGTCACTTTACTCTCGAATAATAATGACTGCAGCGTTCCCCAAATAATTTAGCATGAGGCAAATATGATTCAAGAACCTAGCCTTTTTCATGCTTGGTACTCTGTCATCCTGTTCCATTCCCTACAAAGCTCCTTCAAATATGCTATGAAATTAGAGGGAAGATAGTGCTTAACTTTGCTCCATGGATTTTAGAGGAAAAAGGCTAAATAATTGGAAACTGGTCAGGAAAGAGAGAAGGCTGATTATTCCATAAAACTAAATGGAATTAGAGTTTAGCTTTGATCTAACCTAGCAATCTAAGTGTGAAAATGAGGAAACCCATGTATGTCTCCAGCATGACTGTGCATATCTGAGGATATTTCTTCTTACAACTTTTATGTATAAGCCCTTAGATCCTAATCCATACAGAATAGCACCGATCAAATTTATGTTCGTGACTTGATTAAAGACATCAATTTTGTAGAAGCCGGTGGCAAGAATATGTTTAATATGGCACTTGGTGCCTAGTGGACCCACAATGTAAGTCCAATAGGCAGAAAAGAAGGTAAATGACTATGTTCCAGTCTGCCATATCTAGAAAATCTAAATTTATTTGGGACCTTCAGAAGTATAAAATAATTTAAGATTGGTCTGATGATAATTCAAGCATATAAGAACAATGAAAATCTTAGCTTTGACTTTACTTACATAATAATGTGCCTCCATTAATACTCCCAAATTTTGTAAACTTTCCTACTGCTCTTTCATAATTATTGCTTCTCAATCTACGCAGCTAAACTGGCAAATTCAAATGTGGACTGGGGGAAAAAAGATTAAAAAAAAAAAAAGAAATTTCCAGACCAGAACTTTAAAAATATTTAAAGAAGAAGAAAAGAAGAAAAGACACATTAACACCATAAATCATCAGGAAAGTCCCACTATCCTCATGAGGCTTAACACCCTAACTTCAGATTAATCATAATCGAAACCAGCAGTTCAAGTCTATGTATTGTTTCAAGTGGACAAATAAGGAGTGGAATGGTTTATCCTCCTGCTTTATGTAATAAATAATTTTTTAAAGAAAAATGTAAGTTTGAGGGCGATGGTAAATAAATTCCAACTTGCCTAGAAGTTATTCTGTGTCCTTCCACTTTAAGCACCACAATGGAGAATCAATTGCTTAGCTTTCTTTACCCCACGTGAAAAAGAAATGTGTACACCTCCGTCATAATAACTCCACTAGCCCTTTGGGCCCTTCCAATAAGCATCTGGTTTTTAAAAGGCTGACGACCGATAGACCTATGCCAAGAACAATTTACTACTCTGCTTGCTTGGTTTGTCATGATTTTCACAAGGGAGGAAAATTAGTATGTTTCCAAAATTAAAACACAGTAAACCATCAACTTTAAAAAAATTAACTGGAAGAAGTGATCGGCAAGGTCATGTAGCAAGGGGCAGGGCCGGTATTAGTACCTTTGACCTAGGCAGTCTACTGTATCCCAGATCACTGCTATGTACCCACATGAATATAAACTAGGAATTCAAATAATAAACATAAAAGTGATAGATGGAGAAGGTCTGGGAAGCAGAGGTATACAGCTAGGTTGATGGCAATGGTATTCCTATAGTTTACCCTCCATGTTGGTAAAGTGTAAGTCGAAAAATAAACATAAGGTGGCAACAAAAATTCAGTGCCACAATTCTCAAAGGAAATTGAGAATAAGGAGGGAACAGAAGTAGGGGAATAGAATGACCAGTGGAGCTTTTCAAAACATTACTAATAACAGTAGCAAAGTTTTTCTTTTAACCAAGCACTGTTTTAAATACTAGCACTCCACATACATTAATTTCTATATTTAAATTTATAAAAACCCCATGAGGTAGATACTGTTAATGTCCTATGTTATAGACGGAAACACTAAGAGAAGTTGGAGAACTTGCTCAAGTCATTAAAGTAGTGTCTGGCACCAGCCAGAATTTGAATCTTGCCAATTTATCATCAGAACCTTTGTCCTCAACCCCAGTGTTAGAAAAGCAACATGTGCTTTATAACTGGAGTGCTCTGGATTTGAATTTCAGCTACTTGGTAGTCAAGTACCTTCAATCTCTCTATTGCTCAGTTTCCTCACCTATAAAGGGATAAAAATAATGACTATCTCAACGGGTTATTGTGAGGATTAAATGCAAAAATGCATGTAAAGGATGAACGTATGGGAAATAATCACTGGAGAAACAAACACTAGACACTTTTATTGTCATTATTATGGTATCTCCTAGTCCCCACTTAAGACACTAGTTTGCATAACACAGTCAACTTGGGTTCAAGAATAACCAAACCTAAGCAACTGAAGGCACTAAGGAGACGCAGTGTGTCAAACTATGCTGTCGTTCACAGTCACTGCCCCTCCCTAAAGAGGATCTCATTATCTCTAGCATGGTCCAGCATGGGTGTGTGACCTACTTTGGCTGAAATACGAGTAAGAACGATGTTGATTTTAGTCAAAAATGTCCAAAGCTGGCACATGGTTTCCCACCTCCTCCATTTCTCTTCTGCCACCAGATCCAGTGATGTCCCAGATAAAGGCACCTCTATTAGTCTGAATTCCAGAATGAAAACAACACGGAGCAGAATGTAGCCGGCACACAGTGCACCTGCATTGTGAGAAATGCCCTTTGTTATTGTAAACCATTAAGATTTTGAGGTTGTCTGTACCTCAGCATAAGCTAGCCTAATCTGTCTAGTATGAACACTAAACTAATGTGATACTCTCCCATAGTTATTTTTGTTCCAGTTCTCTCACCTTGTCCTTCCTCTATCAGGGGTTAGAAAACTTCTGCCTTTTCATCTTTGTAAGACTTACAGTTAAAAATAGTTTTTACATTTTTAAATGGTTGGGAAAAATACAAATAATAGTTTGTGGTATGTGAACATTGTATGAAGTTTAAATGTCAGTGCCCTTAAAGTTTTATTGAAACACAAGTTCAGGCATTCATTTACATATTGAGTATGGCTGCTTTCCTGTTGCAACCGCAGTGCTGAGTGGTTGCCACCAGAGATCTTATGGCCCACAAAAAGCCTAAAATAGTTACCTCTGTGTCCCTTACCAAAAAAGTTTGCTGGCCCCTAATCTTATATTTAGTTCTTCCCTCCTTTTGCATTCAATTATTTTCCCCCTTTCTCCCCTCTATTCTGTACTCCAACCCAGTGTTTCTCAACACTAGCACTATTGCCTTTTTGAGCCTGTTAATACTTTGTTGCAGAGGGCGATCTGTACTCCGTGAAATGTTTAGCAGCATCCCTGGCCTTTAGCCTCTAGTTGCCAATAGTGTATCCCCCAGGCCCACATGTCTCTAGACATGACCAAATGTCCTGTAGGAGGCCAGATCTCCCCAGTTGAGAATTACTGCCCAACATTAAACTTGCGAATAAATGCTATGGGCATTATTTAGCTACCTTAAATGACAGGTAAGGAGACTACAGACATTCAAAGACCGTTAAGAGGAAAGGCTTGATGATGAAGAGAAGGCTGAATAAAGTATTCATTCATTCATATATTCATTCAAATAACTAATATTTAGGGGCGCCTGGGTGGCTCAGTTGGTTAAGCATCAAACTTCGATTCCGGTCATGATCTCGCAGTTCATGGGTTCAAGCCCCACGTCAGGCTCTGTGCTGACAGCTGGGAGCCTGGAGCTTGCTTCCAATTCTGTGTCTCCCTCTCTCTCTCTGCCCCTCCCCCACTCATACTCTGTTTCTCTCTCTCAAAAATAAATAAAAACATTTAAAAAATAACTAATTATAAAATATCTATTGTATGAGAAGCCTTGTTTTAGGTACTGGTTGTCCTAGGTTCAGGAATGGATTTAGAAGACAACTGGAAGAAAAAGACATTGTCTATTGTCACTGTGCCTTCATTTCTATCATCTATTCCGTCCTCATCCCCCTCTATTACCAAGCTGGGATGCCAAAAATTGTACTTCCCTGGCTTCTGCATGATTTACGTTCTGCCAGTGATATACACTTCTATGAGACTTGGAAGGAAAAGAGAGAAGAGGCTGTTTCCAAGAGAGTGCAGGGGAAAGAAGTTTCTGGGGTAGATGTGAGTTGGCAGCTTCTGAACTCCATGTCCCTGTGTATTTACCATCGCTGTGATGCAGGGAAGCACTGATGAGACATTCATAGTTTTCTCACTTCTGGGTGATACTAGCAGTTTCTGATCTCTGGGTCAGAGAGGTGGTGATATGCAACCCTGAAACCAGAAGCCTAGCACTGACCCTCTAACTTCTATTCCTCCTGCCCTTTTAGTGATGTATGAGTGTCTAATTCTTTGTATTCAATCTTTTTCTGCTTTCTGAA